AAAAAAAAGAACAGAGCCTTTAGAGAATGGTATGACTTTATCAGTGAATGAATGAATGAATGATGGAGCAAGTGTCACAAAATGTTTAAAATTGGTGAATCTGGAAAGTATATTTGTAAGTTCTCTGTACTATTCTTGCAGTCTTTCTGTAAGTTAGGAATAATTTCAAGATAAAATGTTAAAAGGCCAATAGGATTTGGCATCTAACAGGTCATTGGTGGCCTGCATGGAGCAGTTTCCCATGGGTGGTGAGAACAAAGGCTGTCCTGCAGGGTGTGGAGGTCAAAGAGAAGCGGGGGAAGTGGAGCCATACTCTGGCTCTGAATAGAGAATCAAGGTGTCACTGAAGAATGGGATCAAGTGAGGCTTTCTTTTATCTTTTTTTATTCTTTTAATAAGAAAGTGTTAAACACATTTGCATGCTGAAGAAAATAAGAAAATAGAGATAGGGCAAGGAAGGAGAGGAAATATGCCAGAGACATTGTGCCTGAGCAGCTGACGACAAAATTGTCCTGAGGCAACTGAAGCCTGTGTACATTCACACTGTTGTTGTTATGTGCCGTTGAGTCGCACCCGACTCATAGTGACCCCTCCTTGGGTTTCCAAGGCAGTATCTCTATGGAAGTAGATTACCCAACCTTCCTTCCGAGGAGTGGCTGGTGGGTTTGAACCGCCAGCCTTCTGGTTAGCGGTCAGATGCCTTCAGCACTATGCTACCAGAGCTCCCACGTTCACACTACAACCATTGAAAGTTGGTGGCCACCATTACTACTTTTTATGGAACAGTCCTTTATACCTGCCTACAATCTTTACTGCAAGCCAAGCCATCCTTACTCAAGCTTGCCACATTGGTCTTACTGTCCTGGGTCATTCTGTGCTCTCCTGTGAGTCTTTGCAGCTGGTTTTCCACATCTCAGAACTGGATCCTTGATGTGCAGTGACCCTAGCAGAAGAAAGACTCTTTCCAGGCAAGGAGCATGTTGTCAATGGAAGAAAAAAAAAAAAAAGATTGGAACTTCCCCAATTAAGTAAGGATGAAATAGGATTTTCTTTCTTGTCTCTAAAATAATTCTTGATTTTCCAAACAAGAAAAATGTATGATAGTCTCTATATAGGACCTTCCATAATTAATGTCAAAGTCCTTGTAATCATATCCTGAAGAATTTTCCCACCTTTCCAAAGAGCTTTTTATCTGGTTTTGCCCCCAATGCTATCACTAGATCTATGCTTCCTTTATTCATATGACCACAGAGTCCTTCCTTACTGACACTGAAAATTCAAAAAACCAAGTCCACTGCCATCAAGTAAATTCTGACTCAAAATTAGAGAGTTATTGTGTTCTAAATTTTCTTGATATTACCATAGAATTTATAACTCAAGCTTAAAGTACTCATGTTTATTGTTACCAAACACAACAGAAACTTCTGTTGTCAGAGCTGATCTTGGAGCCCAGGCACAACTCTCAGGACTGAATCAGGGTAACTAAGAGCAAGAATGGCATTTGTTTTACAGCAGATGAAATTTTTGGTTGAGATCACAGCATGCATTCTCCCCTCTGCTTCTGCCTTCTGAGCAGAAAAGCAGTAAGAGGGAAATAGCCAGACACTCTCTTTCACAGGGTTGGGTCAGCTTTCCCTTAGAGGGCAGTGAGTATTAATAACTAAGGACAGGTCTTACTAAGAAACTATCATCCCAGCATTAGGCATCAGAATTCACCAGGCTCCAGTCACTGACCCCTGCTCTGTGATGTGAACACTGACTGCCATTAAGCAGTTACTCTGAGTGCATGTAGCATGTCCTGATTGCGAGTGTTGGTAACAAAAGAACCCCAGTGAGAGCGCAATGAAATAGAGGATTTCAGTGCTGATGGAGATTAAATAGCCTGAGAATGGCTTTGTATATTAACTTCAGGGAACTCAGGTCTTGGCACCTAAAGAGTGACACCTGATGCCTCAATTGTAGGGAAATAAATCTTTAGTAAAGCCCAGATCTCAAGTAGGCTGCATGGAAGGAGAATGAAATCACATCAAGCCCATAAATGTCTTCCTTTCTGGGACCTGAAATGCCATTCCTGGGCACTTGTGTTCGTGTGAATAGCAGATTTAACACTTGAGACAATTGAAGTTTCATAAAATGATGTCTTTGGCCCTGTTGACAAAGCACCCTGTGAAGAGAACTATTGTGATCTGAATTGTCATAATATGATTAAAATCAAGTAGTGACCAAAGATTTCAGACCTGGAACCCTAGGAAAGAAATATCTGATTAATTTTTCTCTTTTATTTTGGTGGGAATGAGGAGAGAACTAGGAAAAGTACAGTCAGATGGCAGCCAAAAAAGAGTTGCTGGTCACTTGTTTCTCAAGTGAGTAAAGGGCTGAGCAGTAACAGTAATGAGGAGAAAAAAAAGTTGACTTCAACTCACGGCAAATCCATGTGTCAGAGTATAACTGTGCTCAGTAGGGTTTTCAAGGCTGTGACTTTTGGAAGCAGATCACCAGGCCTTTCTTTTGAGGTGCCTCTGAGTGGGTCCAAACTGCCAACCTGTGAGTTAGTGATCAAGCACTTAACCATTTGTACCACCAGGGACTCCTGTGCAATTAAAGGCTGAACAAATATTGTAAAGAATAACATTATCAGCATCAATCAATATTTATAAATAATAGCCGGGACGGCTTTGCTGACCTTCATGAACAATGATGACAGCCATGAAAAGAACTGTTGTGGTTCATGAATACACCTACATGATTGTAAAACAGCAAGTTTCTTCTGGATCTGCCATAAGGAAGGGATGCTCTTGGGACTATGTTTTAGAGACTTCTTGCCACCTTTACCCCATGCAACTCAATATACTGCATGGAAGAAAGAACCTTTTCTTAACTGGAATGTAGAAAAGGAAGTTTCTTTCCATTATTTGGAACACTGCAGGTAAATATTTAAAATGTATTGGTGCTACTCAGAACCTGACCAATCCCTGGGAAAGCTCAAATCCTAAGGAGAACATACTCTAAATTTCAAATTAGAAGTCATTCTTACTTCAAAATCTGATATAAGAATATGTATACTAAAACTCACTGCCATAGAGTCAGATCTGACTCACAGCAACCCCTCCTTGGGTTTCCGAGGTGGTATCTCTAAGGAAGTAGATTGCCCAGTCTTTCTTCTGAGGAGTGGCTGGTGGATTTGAACCGCCAGCCTTCTGGTTAGCAGTCAAATGCCTTAGGCACTACACCACCAGAGCTCCCAAGAATATGTATACCATCTTTGAGTTAAAGGACCTCTGGTGGTGTAGTGGATAAGGCATTTGACTGCTAATTGAAAGGTCAACAGTTCAAATTCACAAGCCGCTCCACAGAAGGAATATGGGGCGATCTATGTCCGTAAAGATTTCCAGCCTCAGAAACCCAATGGGGGTCATTAGGAGTCAGAATTGACTCAATGGCAGTGAGTTACTACTGATTTAAATTTAACAATCCCCATCTTATTATAATAAGATTGTATTTGGAATAGAATGCTATTCAGTATTACACAGGAGTCGGACAAGTCTTAGTGATTGTATCAGAAAAGCCAAATAAAAGTCGTAGCCCTAATTTGATCATTCTTCATAGCAAGCAAAAACAAACAATTTGAGCAAAAACATGATTTATTTGCTTTAAGATTTTTCTCCTGAATAATCCAATTAACTTGCATTTTTTTATTAATGTTTCATAGACACAGGCCGTACAGATTATTTATACTTGTGTTCAGAAAGGGAGAAATACATTGAAGTCCTGTAACACCCTGATGCATATGGGCATCCTAACTGTTTTCAATAAGCATTTAATCGTTCTTTCCAAAGGCCTCTTAGCTCGTTTTTCACAACCTAATGAGTGCTTTATTCCTTGGAAAATATTTCTAAATGGCTACATAGACAATATAATTACATAGTGTATCTATTATGCCAGCAGTACATTTTGTTGTTACAAGACTTTGAAAAGCATAAAGACTATTGAAATATTTCCCCCAGATGCTTGATTGACTAAGTACAGGCTATATTAAGCAACAGAAGCAAAACAACCTTTTTGATTTCATAGATGTCCTATCACAACACTGACTTTTTTATAATCCTCCAAATAAAATCTAATTGTTTCATGTAGAGAAGAGGTCATTTCTAGCTTCTGACTTGAAAGAGTAAGAAGATCTGATCATCTGAACTATATTTCAAGCTAAACATCTACTTATTGGAGAAAGCAAATCATTGATGTTCTTTCCAGTTAAGATTATTTTAAAAAAAAAATTCATCTTAGTTAAAATAAGTTTGCATGTTTTAGGTAGGTTTACACTTTCTTCATATGTAGAAAAGTAAACCACCCTGTGCCGCATAATAGAACTCTTCATTTTCCCACTTTTAAAGTCAACTTCTTTTCCTTAAAATGAAGCCTGTTCTAAGCTATTTCTATCCAGGGTCATAATCTAAAGTTGCCAAGAGCTAATCACTCTCTATTGCCTAAGACTGGGAAAGGGACCTCTGTACTCTTATCTCTTTTCAGTTCCCTGGTCACAATCCCAGAAGTCTCAACCCCCAGTTTGAGAAACGCTCATTTGTGAACTGTGTGAAAACTGTTAATCTTCTGATTTTACATTAATCAAAAACATCTTTTCAGAATTACCAGGAACATTGGTCTCAATATGAAAACCCAAAATCAAGCAATGTGCCCAGACGTCAATCTTCTGAAGCAGCTGATGGCCAGCGACCTTCCAGAAGACCAGCCAAGCACACAATTCGAAAGCAGCATAAACACCAGAGTGGCGTGAAAGCTTTAATGACCAAAGAGCTAGTTGCCAGTCAAGGAAACCAGGATAATACGCCCAGACAGCAGCAAAACCAAAATCAGTTCATTGACGATTCAGTAGAGCAGGAATCAATTGTGCTTATGAATGCCCCTAACAATGATTTACAAGACTCAAGTGCACTTAGGAGCCAGAATCCCAAAGTAAACTCCAATAAATTTGCTCCACCAAAACAAGCTTTTGACAAGGTACCATATAAAAACTCTACTGGCTATTACTGGGTGAAGAATATTAATAAAGAAAGGGGACACAAAGTCCAAGAAGAGAAAGGATTTTCCTATCCACAGCTACATGCCAACGCTCTTTCCAATACGGACTTGAAATACGTTAATGAACTTTCTAAGAGACAAGTGCCTCTGAGCCAGAAAGACTCTCAGCCTGTTTATAACATAACCATTAATCGAGCATCTGAAAATAAGAAGCAACCCAAACAGATTTATACAGAGACAAAATATAAGAACATAGAAATGTTATGGTAAGAATTCCCTTTTCTCAAAGGGCTAGCACAAGTGGTTTTCTGCAGGAGAAATGGTAGGCTGTTGGTCAAACTGGAGAAGGAGAGTGGGAAAGAGAAGTGCTTAGGGATGGTCCGGTAAGAGGAAAAATTCACTGACCACCTCCCTTGGCTCTGACTCCTGCCTCAAACAATCCCCTTTTGATTTTTTTTTTCTCTTCCATGTATCCTCTACCTTTTCCTCCATAGTTACAACTAAAGTTGGAGAGAGGAGAATACCAGAGAGACCCAGTCAAAACAGATCAGTATATTTTGAGGACTGCAAGTAATGTTTGGAGGAAATAAGTTATCTCCAGTACTGTAATGGCTTTTCCTAAGAAAATAATCTAAAATACAGATAAATATGTATGCCCCTGAATAGCATCATTTACAAAAATGATCTGAAAGTCCAACACTAAGAAAATATTTATATAAATTATGATATTTAGTATCTTATAAGCATTAAAAATTATGGCATGAGGAAATATTTCTGTAAGAAAATAGTAGGGTACAGAATTACACCAAAGGGTCTCTGTCTGTCTGTCTCTCTCTCTCTCTCTCTCTCTGTGTGTGTCATTGCCGTAGAGTCATCTCCAACTCGTAGCAACCCCTCCTTGGGTTTCCAAGGCAGTAACTCTATGGAAGTAGATTGCCCAATCTTCCTTCCAAGGAGTGGCTGGTGAGTTTAAACCACCAGCCTTGTTAAAATGTGCACAAAGGAAGAAAAATACATAAAAATGTCAAGTGTTTATCTCTGGCAAGAGTAATTGGGATTGTTTTTAATTTTTTCCTACAATGTAGATATACTACTATAATCAAGAAAAGTTATTTTTAAAATCACTTCAGGAGACATTTAGTGATATCATTCAGTCAAACTATCATGTAAAATGTGCTAAACATAGTACTAAAATTCTATAGAAGAAACATCAAAAGCATAATGCATGGGAACCTTCAAGAAGTATACTTTCATGGTAAGGGAGGCAATTTTACACATATGAATTGATCAGGAGACATTTAAGTGCTAGATTTGGTGATATGGAATGTACATTTAATTAAATTCAGAGTTACTTCCTAGAAGAGAGTGATAGATAGCAACCACACTTGTCTTTTTTCCTGATTTTAGAGGGATTGCTTCATAACATTTTTACCATTAAAAATCATACTTGGTGGATTGGGAGATAGATAGGAAATTCTCTCCTATTGCTTTTTGCAAAGACTTTTTTTTTTGTTTTGTCTTGTTTATAAATTATAAATGGGAATTGGATTTCATCAAAAACTTTTTCTGTATTAATTAAGTTTTTTTTTTTTTTTACTTAGTGCTTTGATGTGATAAAATACATTAACAGATTTTCTACTGTTACTCCATGTTTTTATTCCTAGGATTAACCTGCTTGCCATACTGTATTTTTTATAAATTGTGTTATTTGATTTGTTAACACTTTGTTTAAGATTTTACTTCCCAAGTGCAAAAGTGAGATTGGCCTATAATTGTCCTATCGACTACTGGGAGCTCTGGTAGTGTAGTGCCTAAGGCACTTGACTGCTAACCAGAAGGCTGGCAGTTGAAACCTACTAGCCACTCCTCCGAAGGAAGGTTGGGTCCAAGTCGACAGCACATAACAACAACAACAACTACTACTGGCTTTGTCTAGATGTGTTAGAAAGCTGATAGTAGCTTTATAAAATGATTTAGGGCCTTATTCTTCTTTTTATATCCTCTGAGACACTTCATATACAATTGGAATTACCTGTTACTTGAAGGTTTGATAGAATTTTCCTGTAAAACATTGGGTCATGTGTGTTTTTTGTTTTGCTTTATTTTTGTTGTTTGTGGGTAGATTTTCAATGATCCAGTTACTATAATGCTTATATGTCTTTACAGAGTTTCTATTTCCTCTCATGTCATTTTGATAAATTACATTTTTCTAGAAAAATAGTTGTTTATTTTTACTAAGTTTCTTAATTTGTTGTCATAAACTTTTCATAGTATACTTATTACTTAACCTCTACTATATCTGTAGTTATATCCTTCTTTCTATTATTTTTCTCATTTTTAATTATTTTTTTGTTTTATTAAGATAATGAATGCAACAGATTAAAAAGTCAGATAACACAAGGCACAGTTCTTCCTCTTCCTCCTCATTCTCCCCAGTTGTCCTCTCTACACTGCTGTGATAATTGCATTTGTATAATAATGAAAATACTAAACATCAGCAACCCCTATAAGACTCTTACTGTTTTCCTCTGGCATTTGCACATGTCAATAATTCTCAGTTAAATTTATTTACTGCTATATTTTCTTGACCAATTTTAGATATTTCTATTGACTTCCTATTCTAGTAGATGAGGATGTAGCTGTCTTACATCACCATCACATTTGTTTTCCCTCACCCATACTCCAAAAATAGTTATGTTACAACTTTTGTTGTTAGGTACCATTGAGTCATCTCCAACTTATAGTAACCTCATATATGCAGAAAGAAACACTACCAAGTCCTATGCCAGCCCCATGATCTTTGCTATACCCAAGCCCATTGTTGCAGCCACTGTGTCAATCAATCTCATTGAGGGCCTTCCCCTTTTTCATTGTCCCTCCACTTTGCCAAGCATGATATCCTTCTCCAGGGAATGGTGCCTTCTTACAACATGACCAAAGTAGGTGAGACAAAGTCTGGCCATTCTCGCTACCAAGGAGCATTCTGGCTGCACTTCTTCCAGGACAGATTGGTTAGTTCTTTTAGCAGTCCATGGTACTTCCAGCATTCTTTACCAACACCACAACTCAAAAGCATTGACTCTTCTTCGGTCTTCCTTATTCATTGTCCAGCTCTCACATGCATATAAGGTGACTGAAAATACCATGTCTTGTGACAAGCACACCTTAGTCTTCAAGAAAACGTCTGCTCTTCAGCACTTGAAAGAGGTCCTTTGCAGCAGATTTTCTCAATGCTATATGATGTCTGATATCTTGACTGCTGCTTCCATTGGTGTTGACTGTAGAAGCAAGTAGTATGAAGTCTTTGACAACTTCAATCTTTTCTCCATTTATCATGATGCTGCTTATTTGCCCCCTTGTGAGGAATTTTGTTTTCTTTATATTGAGATGTAATCCATACTGCAGACTGTAGTCTTCAGTCTTCATCAGTAAGTATTTCAAGTCATCCTCATTTTCAGTGAGCAAAGTTGTGTTGTCTGCATAACGTAGGTTTTTAATGAGTCTTCCTCCAATCCTGATGCCACATTCTTCTTCATATAGTTCAGCTTCTCAGATTATTTGTTCAGCATACAGTTTGAATAAGTATGGTGAAAGGATATAACCCTGACACACTCCCTTCTTGATTTTAAACCATGCAGTGTACCCTTGTTCTGTTTGAATGACAGTCTCCTGGTCTATGTACAAGTTCCTCATGAGCACAAGCAAGTGTTCTGGAATTCCCATTCTTCTCAATGTTATCCATAATTTGTTATGATTTACACAATTGAATGCTTTTGCATAGTCAATAAAACACAAGTAAACATCTTTCTGGTATTCTTTGCTTTCAGCCAAGATCCATCTGACATCAGCAATGATATCCTTTGTTTCACGTCCTCTTCTGAATCCAGCTTGCATTTCTGGAAGTTCTCTGTCAATATACTGCTATAACCATTTTTTAATTATCTTCAGTTAGATTTTCCTTGCATGTGATATTAATGATATTGTTCAATAATTTCCACATTCTGTGGGATCACCTTTCTTTGGAATAGGTACAAATATGAGTCTTTTGCAGTCAGTTGGCCAGGTAATTGTCTTCCAAATCTCTTGGCATAGCCTCAGGTGAGTGCCTCCAGTGTGGCATCCGTTTGTTGAAACATCTCAATGGTATCCCTTCAATTTTTGGAGCTTTGTTTTTCGCCACTTCCCTCAGTGCAGCTTGGAACTTTTCCTTCAATACAATTGATTCTTGATCATATGCCACCTCCTGAAATGGATGAAGCTCGACCAGGTCTTTTTGGTACATTGACTCTGTGTATTCCTTCCATCTTCCTTCGATGTTTCCTGCATCATTCAATATATTGCCCATAGAATCTTTCAGTACTGCAACTCAAGGCTTAAATTCCCTTTTCAGTTCTTTCAGATTGAGAAATGCCAAGCATGTTCTTCTCTTTTGGTTTTCTAACTCCATGTCTTTGCACATTTCATTATAGTAATTGACTTTGTCTTCTCAAGCTGCTCTTTGAAATCTTCTGTTTAGCTCTTTTATTTTGTCATTGCTTCCATTTGCTTTATCTACTCTCAGTTCATGGGCAAGTTTCAGAGTCTCTTCCAATATCCATTTTGGTCTTTTCTTCCTTTCCTGTCTTTTTAATGACCTTTTGCTTTCTTCATGGATGATGTTCTTGATGTCATCCCACAATTCCTTTGGTTTTTGGTCAATGCTGTTCAATGAATCAAATCTGTTCTTTAAATGGTCTCTAAATTCAGAAGGTATGTAATCAAGGTCATATTTTGGCACTCATGGACTTGTTTTAATTGTCTTCAACTTCAAGTTGAACTTGCATATGAGCAGTTGATGGTCTGTTCCACAGTCAGCTCCTGGTCTTGTTTTGGCTGAAGATAGGGAGCTTCTCCGTTGCCTCTAGCCAGAGATGTAGTCAATCTGATTCCTGTGTACTCCATCTGGTGAAGTCCATGTGGATAGCCACTGTTTGTGTTGTTGAAAAAAGGTATTTGCAATGGATAAGTCTTTGGTCTTACAAAATTCTATCATGTGATCTCCAGCATTATTTCTATCTCCAAAGCCAAATTTTCCAACTATTGGGGATTCTTTGTTTCCAACTTTTGCATTCCAGTCACCAGTGATAATGAGCACATCTTGATTGCATGTTTGGTCAATTTCAGACTGCAGAAATTGGTAAAAGTCTTCAATTTTCTCATCTTTAGCTTTGGTGGTTGGTGCATAAATTTGAATAATAGTAGTATTAACTGGTTTTCCTTCTATGCATATGAATATTATTCTATTACTGACAGCATTGTACTTCAGGATAGATCTTAAAACATTCTTTGTGATGATGAATGCCATTCTTCCTCAATTTGTCATTTCCGGTATAGTAGATCATATGGTTATCTGATTCAAAATGGCCGAAACTGGTCCATTTCAGCTAACTAATGCCTAGGATATCAATCTTTATGCATTCCATTTCAGTTTTGACAACTTTCAATTTTCCTAGATTCATACTTCATTCGTACATTCCATGTTCCAATTATCAATGGATGTTTGCAGCTGTTTCTTACGTTGAGTTGTGCTACTTCAGCAAATGGAGGTGCCAAAAGCTCTACTTTATCCATATTATTAAAGTAGGCTCTACTCTGATGAGGTAGTTCTTCCCCAGTAATATTTTGCATGCCTTCTGATCTGAGGGGCTCATCTTCTAGCACTGTATCGGACGATGTTTCAGGGCTATTCATAAAAGTTTCCAGTAATATATCAGACAGTATTTCACTAATAGTCATAAAGTTTTCACTGGCCAATTCTTTGAGAAGTGGATGGCCTCTTCATTCTTCCAAGTCTGTCTCAGTCTGGAAGCTCCACTGAAACCAGCCCACCATGGGGATCCCTGCTGTCACAGCCTCCAGCCTCATGGCAACATGCAAGCCACCATAGTATGACAAACCAACAGACAACTTCATCTCCCTTAGCTGTTACAACTTCTCCACTCACTTCCTGGACTACCCCCTACCTGTTCCTGCCATCCCTGTCTGCCACTGTTGCCTGCTCCCTAGGGACTGTCCCCCACCTGCCTTACCTGTTCTGGCCACCAGAACTTTACAACTTTTGGTTAAGCCAGTATTCAGTATTTTCATTATTATGCTAATGTAGCTATTATTCACAGTCTAGCATTGAAGGTATTATAATTATGTTTCCTTTTTAATTTTTTCCAGAAGCCAATAAATAATTACCTTGAGTTTTCTTTTGCTTAAATTTCCTTGTATATTGCTAATTCTTCTCACACTTTCCAATAAGAATTCCAAGTGTCTTCCTTCTGATGTGACTTCCCTTTTCGGATCTCATGTTTTCCTTATTTTGCTTGAGCACATCTTCCAGTACTTTCTGCAGATTAAAAACATGATGTAATAGGAGAGAGATGGTGGAAAGTTCACATCATGCCTTTGTCTTGGCCTCACTTCCTTTCTAGACTATTTCCTCCTGACTAGTGTTCATTTCATCATGGAGATTCCCTTTGCCTTTCTACTTCATTGAACCTCCTGTTTTCTAACTCCCCTCTCTTTCTCTTTCTTAGTTTCCATTGCTTATAAGGAAAATGTTTTGAGACCTTGCATGACTGAAATCATTATGCTTTCACTCCCTTTTAAAAAAATATATTTTATTATTGTTGTTGAAAATATACACAGCAGAACATAGACCAATTCAATAGTTTGCTTCCTTATTATTGTATAGAGTCAATGTGGTTTTAATTTACCCAGTTATTTATTAATTTCTGTGCTCACATTTTTTCTTCCATCTTACTCATTTTCCCTGAAGTATATCTTTTAGAAGTTCTTTCAGCAAGTGTTGTACTGAAAAATTTATCTAAAAATTCCTTTATTTTATTCTTTATCTTGAATTATAATTTAACCTAGTGAAGAATTAAACTTTTTGAAAACATTATTGTTCCATCTCCTAGCTTCTATGTTGCTTTGAAATGTCTTTTGTTATTATAATTGCCATTCTTTTTGTTTTTCTTTTTTCTGTTGTTAGTTTTAAGGTTTCTTCTTTGTTTTTTTTTGTGTTCTGAAGTTTCATTGTGCTATATCTAGGTATGAAATTTTTATTCCTGCTTCAGGCTCTTCAGTGATTTTTCTAAATCTGAGGATTTATCTCTTTCATCAATTCTCAGAAATTAATATCAATTTTCCTTTGAATATTGTATCTCACAAATTTGCTCTATTTTCTTCTTTGGGAGCTCCAAATAGATATATATTGTTGTTGTTATATGCCGTTGAGTCAGCCCCAACTCATAGCGACCCCTCCTTGGGTTTCCGAGGCAGTATCACTACGGAAGTAGGATTGCCCAACCTTCCTTCCGAGGAGTGGCTAGTGGGTTTGAATTGCCAGCCTTCCGGTGAGCAGTCAAGTGCCTTAGGCACTATACTAATGGTTCAAACCCACCAGCCACTCTGCAGAAGAAAGGTGAGGCAATCTGCTTCTATAAAGAATTACAGCCTTGGAAACCCAATGGGGGTACTATAAGCCAGAATCAACTGGATGGCAGGGAATTTGGTTAGATGTATATTAGATTCTCTTATATTAGACCTCGGGAGCTCAGGTGGAGTAGTTCCTAAGGCATTTGACTGCTAACCAGAAGGCTGGTGGTTCAAACCCACCAGCCACTCCTCGAAAGGAAGACTGGACAATTTACTTCCATAGAGATACTGCCTCGGAAACCCAAGGAAGGATTGCTATGAGTTGGATTCGACTTGACGTCAATGAGCGTGGTTTTGTTTGGTTTTTATACTAGATCTCATGTCTCTTTAACTCTATTTCTTATTTTCCATCTTTTATCTCTCTGTACTTCTTTCAGAAAAATTTCCTCAGATATGATTTCCACTGCAATAACTCTCTCTTCAGCAATGTCCAAAATGCTCCATAATGTCTCTGTTGATTTTTAAATCCCAGTGATTTTATTTTTCATGTCTACACATTCTATTTAGTTCTGATTAAAACTGCCCTCTTGTTTGTTCAAAATATCTCTTTTTCAAAACATGTGTCTTCAAAATATAATTCTTAGTTTTGGTTTCTTCTTTCATGTTTTCAATCAGTTAAAACATTTTATAAATGACATCTAATATTCGCTAATCTGAAGTTCTTAGAAGTCCACTGCTGCTGCTGGTGGTGTGTATATGTACATGTCTGCTGACTCTCACACTTGGTAGATTTTTTTTTTTTTTCTTTTTTTTTTTTTGGATTGTGACATTATGTTTAACCATCTTACCTGTGGAAACCTAGCCAGGCTTGGCTGGGAATGTATCCCTCCAGAGAAGTTTTATATTTATTTCTGCTGGATACTACAGGAAGATGGGGCAATCTACTTCCATAGTAGTACTGCCTCGGAAACCCAAGGAGGGGTTGCTATGAGTCGGGTCTGACTTGACGGCACATAACAACAACAACAACAACCACAGAGATATCCCTCATCCCAAACCATTTTTACATAAATTTCTTGGTGTTGGATGTCCATGATAATATGAGCAAGGTAAATTTGAATTCCAAATATTGTCCCATAGAAATTCACAAGATTTTTTTCTTATTTAGAGTACAGACTAGATAGGCTAGATAGGCTTCCATTGTTGTTTCCCAAGGCTGGTGAATTTTGTTTTGTTTTGTTTTTCAACTAATCCACCTTTTTACTGAGGATATAGCCATTTAAGGGTTATAGCCTTTATGCAGGCATCTCAGTCCTGATTCCCTCCCTCACATGTGACCAAGGTCTCACATCTCCTGTACCATGTTAAATGTTAAAACTGATGCTCTTAGATTACCAAGACCCAACATCTCCATAAAGAAAGCCACAACTTCAACTTATACAATTTCTGCTTTGGTGTTACTAACCCTTTTTGTTTTCGGTCTTTGGAGATTCCTTGCCTTTCTTATAAATTCAACTATGTATTTAATAATTTAATTTCTATATATTTTCTTATACAAAGTTTTTAACTTTTCAGAAGTTTCTTCTATTCTGAATGCACTAAATAAAACAGGCTGAGAAATAAAAAAGAGGATTTTAAGATAAGAAACTGATGTCTTCATGAAAAGATTAAACTAGACATCATTTACTGGACTTGAGAAGTGATAAATACATCAAATTAATGGTTTATAATGGCTTTTATATTATAGAGGTCTTATGTATCCAGGTTTTGTTAACTAGTTTGTGCTTTTGTTTCCATCAAGGAAATTCCATTCTTCCTCTGACAGCCAACCTGTTAGAGCTTCTCCAGATGCTCAGCTCACTCAGATAATGGATCAGCATCAGCAAGCCCTAATGCAGCTGACTGAGGTGCAGCCCAATGGAGGGGCCTTACACAGCATCACATTTCCACCCATAATGTCAAGGGTAGAAAGTGAATCCCAACTCAGTTCAGAAAGAAGCCAGAGAAACCAAATGAAAATTAGTCGTAGCAATTCCGAAGGTTATCTGTTTCAACTGGAAAAAGGAAAAAGACACAGGAAAAGAAGCAGCATTAAGGTAATATAAACATCATGTTACCAAATAAACTTTTTTTAAAATTTTATTGTCGCAAAAATGAAAAAAAAAAAACAGATTTGCCAATTTAACATTTTTCACGTGTACAATTCAGTAAGCCCAATTATGTAAATCATGTGGTGTAACCATCACCAGTATCCATTGCCAAATTTTCCATCCCCATAAACAAAACACTATGGTACCTCAACAATGATACTGCCCTTCCCCTACTAACCACTATTAAACTTTAATCTTTAAACCTTTGCCTATTCAAGGGAATTCATATTAGTAAATTCATACAATATTTATTCTCTCATGTTTGACTAATTTTACTCAGCATGTTTTTAAAGTTCATGCATGGTGTGACATGTATCAGGACTTCATCTCTCTTTATGATTAATATGCCATTGTATGTATATACCAAATTGTATGTGTGTGTGTGTGTTTGTGAATATTTATTGGGATATCCAAGTTGACGCATAAAATTATGTATCATAAAGAGATTAACATGTTTTGTTTATCCATTCATCTGTTGATAGGAATTTAGGTTGTTTCCATCTTTTGGCTACTGTGAATAGTCCTGCAATAAATACTGATATACAAATATCTTTGCATTGCTGCTTTCATATCTCGTGGGTATGTACCTAAGTCTGGAATTGCTGGATCATATGGTAGTTTTGTATTTAAATTTTTTAGGAACTTCCATACCATTTCAAGAGTGGCTATCCCATTTTGCATTCCTACCAGCAAGAGATGCTAGTAGTCTCCACATCTTTGCCAGTAGTTTTTATTTTCCATTTTTTAATCTTAGCTATGATTGGAGTGAAGTGGTATCTCATTGTGGTTTTGATTTGTACTCCCTAGTGTCTATTGGGGGTAGCTCTGGTGGCGTAGTGCCTGACGCATTTGACTGCTAACCAGAAGGCAGGTGGTTCAAATCCACCAGCCACTCCTTGGAAGGAAGATGGGGCAATCTACTTCTATAGAAATACCATCTCAGAAACCCAAGGCGGGACTATGAGTCTAATCGAATCAACAGCAGTGAGTTAATGGCTAGTGGTCTGGTGGCATAGTGGGTAAGGTATTTGGTTGCTAACCAGAAGGTCAGAAATTCAAACCCACCAGCTGTTCTGTGGGAAGAAGATGAGGCAATCTACTTCCATAAAGATTTACAGTCTTGGAAACCTAATGGAGGTTACTATAAGTCAGAATTGACTCATTGACAGTGGGTTTGGTTTGTTTTTTTGGAATGGCTATTGGTGTTGAGCATCTTTTCATGTTTGTTGGCCATTTTTATACCCTCTTTGGTGAAATGTCTATTTAGCTCCTTTACCCATTTTTCATTTGGCCTTTTCCTTAAGCTGTTCTTTATATATTCTGGATATCAGACCCTTATCTCCTTATCAGATATATGGGTCCCTAAAATTTTTTCCCATTCTGTGGGCTCTCACTTCACTTTGTTAATAAAGTCCTTTTACCAAATAACCTTTTAATTTTGATAATACAAATGGGGCTTGATATTTATAGCCCTTGTTTACAACCCTGGAATAGGAATGGTCATTTCTGAACTGCCTCCATTGCTGGATGGCCTGGAGTCTTGAGGAGTTAGTTTCTTTACTATAGCCCCCACTACTCTTTGGAATTTCCTTCCTCTTTCTCCTGGAAGTTATTGCTACCAGAGATACCTATTTCCTTCCACTTTCTTTTTGCTTCATCTAAGGGGTCTCCATTTACAGATAGGAAGTAGTCCTCCTTCTGGCCCCAGCTTAACCATCACTTCCTCAGAGAAGGCCACTACACCCTCCGCCCTGATTCCTAGTCTAGGTTGTCTCTAAGAACATCTCATAGCTGAAAGGATGAGAAAATAGAGTTAAATGAATGAAAGCCCCTGTTGCCACTGTATTTTTCCTACAATATACCACTGTCCCACCCCCTAGCTTTTTTTTCCAGTTGCTGTGAGTTGATTCAGACTCATGGCAACTCTGTGTGCATCAGAGTAGAAATGTGCTCCACAATGGGTTTTCCTGGGTTTTCAATGGCTGATTTTTCAGAAGTAGATCTCTAGTCCTTTATTCGTAGGTGACTCTGAGTAGACTCAAACTTCCAACTTCTTGGTTAGCTTCTAAGTGTGCCAACCATTTGCACCACCCAAGGACTCCCTTGTTGTTGTTGTTATTGTTATCATCAAGACCATTTTCAACTCATAGCAGCCCCATGTGACAGAGCGAAACTGCCTCCATGGAGTTTTCTCTTCTGTAACCTTTATGGGAGCAGATCATGAGGTCTTACTCCTGTGGAGCTACTGAGCAAATTCTAACTGCCAACCTTTCTTTTCTTTTTTGTTACCAGCCAAGTACTTACCTGTTGTGCTGCCAGGACTTCTAGGAACTCCCCTACCCCCAAGAGAACTCTTCTTGGTCCTAATCCTACCTCAGCTTCTGCAGTAAAATAACCAGGATAGTTAATACTCAGTTTCCCTCTGAAATGTTGTCTAATCATCACTGAGTTCTTCATCTACTATAATATTCACCATTACTACATTCACCCGTGTGCCTTTAAATCTTTTCATATAGGGAGTATATGGTTAAATAAGGAAAATTGGAGGTCTTGAAGTAGAAGGTTTTCAGGGAAGATATGAAGAATCCGAGAAAGAAGTGTTTTTATGTAGTGTATATTTCTCCACTGTTACAAGCAATAAAAACCCCTCAGGAAAGATCACTTGCTTCTTGTGTCAAAGAGTAAGGACAAAGCTGCAAACTACATTCTGATTTACAGTGCTCTAGGAAAAGATCTGGTTGGAAATCCTGTAATGAGCTGGTTACCTAGGAACAGATTCTGAAATGGAGATTTGCATGCAAGAGGTTGATTGGCAGGTGCCCTCAAGAACAACCCCTGTGAGGGAGTGATGTAAGCAACACTGGAGAGAAGTAGTTGAGCTACTTGATGAGGCTAGAACAGAAACCTCAGTGACTCCCAAGGGGGTTCTAAAGTTGGGATGGCTCTTCAAAGGCAAGGGACCTGGGCTTTTGTTTGACTAGATACTGGTTACTAGCTGCCTCTGGAAAGAGGTTGTAACTTTGAGCAAAGCAGTTCCATTTGGTTCAGAGCAGTTCTGGAATGGGAGGGGGACTTAACTGTGAGCCATCAGCAGACAACCCTCCTGGCAGCTGGGGAAATGAGTGCCTCAGTCCAGAAGGGCATCCACTGTAAGGCAGCTATTGGGAATTAAGTAGCTTGTTCCTCAGCTCAATTCAACATTATGTTTGTTGAATTGCTAACAAGAACTATCATAGGTGTTGGGATTGAAAGATGAATGAACCATGAACATTCCCCAGGAAAAGTTTATTACAAAATGGCACTGGGGGAGATGACATATAAATAGCTTCAGTATAATATTGTAAACAAAGAAAACAAAAGGAGGGATATGTAGGGAGTACAGAGGAACACAAAAGAAGACCCCTAATATAGCCTGGGGGTTCAAGCAAATATCTGGATATAAAATTTGAATTGAGTCTTGAAGGATAATCAAGAGTTAGCAATAGAAAGATGAAAGGGCATTGCCAGCAGAGCAACCAGCATGAACAAGTGCTCTGGAGCTTAAGACAACCTGGGGTGTGCTGGGAATTTACACACATCTCAGGTTGCTGTAACTGAAACTGAGAGGCAGGGAGTGTCGGAGATGCAGGGGAAGAGGCAGTGAGGGCCTCTTTTCCCCAGGTCCTGTTCACCATTCTAAGAAAGGCTTTATGCTATTTTGTTGTTGTTTGGTGCCATCAAGTTGGCTCCAACTCAGTTGCAACCCTGCATACAACAGAACGAAACACTGCCCAGTCCCGTGGATACTGCATGGTTTAAAATCAGGAAGGGAGTGTGTCAGCGTTGTATCCTTTTACCATACTTACTCAATCTGTATGCTGAGCAAATAATCCAAGAAGCTGGAGTATATGAAGAACGTGACACCAGGATTGGAGGAAGACTTATTAACAACCTGCAATATGCAGACGACACAACTTTGCTTGCTGAAAGTAAGGATGACTTGAAGTACTTATTGATGAAGGTTAACGACTACAGTCTCCAGTATGGATTACACCTCAACATAGAATACAAAAATCCTTACAACTGGACCAATAAGCAACATCCCGATAAATGAAGAAAAGATTGAAGTTGTCAAAGATTTCATATTATTTGGTTCCACAATCAACACCAGTGGAAGCAGTGGTCAAGACATCAGATGACATATTGCACTGGGCAAATCTGCTGCAAAAGACCTCTTTAAAGTGCTGAAGAGCAAAGATGTCTCTTTGAAGATTAAAGTGTACCCTATCCAAGCCATGGTATTTTTAGTCACCTCATATGCATGTGAGAGCTGGACAATGAATAAGGAAGACCAAAGAAGAGTTGATGCTTTTGAGTTGTGATATTGGCAGAGGATACCGAAAGTACCATGCACTTGGCAAAAGAACTAATAAATCTGTCCTGGAAGAAGTGTAGCCAAATGCTTCTTGGAAGCAAGAATGGCCAGACTTCATCTGACCTACTTTGGTCACATTGTCAGAAGGGACCATTCCCTGGAGAAGGATATCATGCTTTATGCTATAGGCCAGGGAAAACCAAAGAATTTTAAACATGGTTAGCTTGTATTTTGGCAAGACTGCTCTGGCTACAGTGTTCATTGCAGATGTAAGGCATTCAAGGAAGTTGTTGTTGTTGTTGTTGTGTGCCGTCGAGTCAAACCCGACTCATAGCGACCCCTCCTTGGGTTTCCGAGGC